ATCAACCGCCGAGTCGGCTTCACCGAAGGCGCACCGTACTCACTCACACTGATCAAATTCAACCGCAAAGGCACAAGTCTGCTTGCGCAAGTCGCGCATGCCTCGGCAGATTGAGCCAACAACATGTTGCCTATATGTACTAAAAAGACCATCACATGATTCTCGGCAGACAGACCCTGCAACCCCGCAGGACGAGACGTCAAACGAAGTCTGCGACGGCCAACAAAGTGCCACAAGGAGCGCCACAGTGTATGAAACGAATGGAATGAGTGCCATGACGAAAGACCACTGATCAGCGTCCAGCGCATTGGTGCGTCGACCTCCGAACAACGGGCGACATCGATCGGTGGCAAGGGGTCCCAGCTCAGCGAACTCCTTGGGCGAGCGTGGCCGCGCCAAAAAAGTTCTCCGAAAAGAAGGGTTGAATGGCCAGCACCGATGCGACATCCCGAGGCACCTGTGACCAAGAGGTCCAGGGTGAGCTGGAGGATGACACTTTCAATCACTCGTGCCATCAGTCTCCTGAACTGGAGGGACGCCGTCCCGCGAACAGCTGAATGAGCTCAGTGGTTCCCGTGCCACGGGATGCCTTTCCCGCATTGGACACAGGTGTGAGAACTCTTGCACTGATCACCAAATCAACAACCCAAAGAGCAATTGAAGCAAATGCAGCGCTTCTTGCCCTCCTTGAACGAAGAGAGCTTTGACCACTCTTCAGTGTGAGTACGAACATCCTCCTCATCCTCCTTGGGTGGCTCCTTCTTGGAATTGGCGAGCTGATCGCGAGCAAGCTGCAGTCTTCTTGGCGCGCTCACGTCTTGCATTGTTCCTCTTTGCCTTGGCTGGGTGTTTGGGCGGACACTCTGAACAATTACGTTTGGTCAAGTCCCTCGGAGGAGTAGTCGGAGCCGAAGTATTGCCAGCTTGCTTGAACTTGTCGAAAACTGGCGCTTGATCGAGCATCATTCCAGGGTTGTTCAACACATCAAGAAGGCCTGCAGAAAAGTTGGAGTAGGTCTTCCAGTGGTCGAAATTCAGGCGGTAGACCTTATTTCTGAGCAACAAAAGAACGAGTCCACGATTCTCACGGCGCCAGTCCTCGAGCTCAAACAAAAATCGCAGCGGTCCAGCCACATAAGTGAAGTCACAGATGTTGAGATACTCAAGGGCGACCAAAAAACAAAAATTGTCCGTGGCTTGGGGCTCGGAGGCTGCGATTGTTGATCAACTGTCGCCACTTTGAGGAGGTCCTCAGCGTTCTCATTTCACCGACCTCGAAGAAGGGGACTGAGCCATGGACGCGGTATAGTCCCTCTGGATCCTCTCAACGAGCTTCCGATGCGGCTCTTGGTGACGAGGAGGGAGAACATCTGGACGTCGAGCGACAAGTTGTTCACCAAAGTTCTGCGTGATCACCTCCAGGATTCTCCGGGCATTTCTGGAGCCTTTTTGGGACCCTCTTCCATCTTGGCCCTGCGAGCAGCAAAATGACCTTGCATCGCGGAACATGTCTTCCATATGCTGCTGCGATCTGAGTGAGCGAGATCTCCTGTTTACCCGCAATCGCGCCTAGCAGGGCATCATCTGCAATGATGGTGCGAGCGGCCTGCTTCACTGCAGCAATGGTGTCCCCCAGCATATCAAAGGCTTCAACAGTCATAAGCCGCCGGTCGACGATGAGCTTGCAAAGATTCGGTGGCAACCATTGGCGAACGAAGATCTCCCGCAAGGCCAACTCCGGCATGTTCGCTTCTCGCCAAAATGGCAGCAAGTATGAAAATATACTTGAAAATCACTCGGTCGAAAAAGCTGAACAGCAGCATTTAAAGTGGACCTCATGTCCCAACCTACCTACCATCAACATCAGACCAATTAGCTTTTGAGAATTACTTCATATTCTATCTAGTGCTCCGACACTATCCATATAAATGCACAATAATAAACAATAATGTATATATATATGTATGTATGTATGTATACATACATGCTTCAGAAAGCCCTTCAAATTCAGCAAAAACATGCAAAAACTAAAGGATGCACTTCAAGCTCTTGTTGAAAAATCAGGAAATACAAGTTGCAAGGCAAGAGACAGCGATCACCATGTTAAGGACTCCAAAGACCGTGGTCATGAGCGATCCACAGAAAATTATGGCAGTGGCCGGGCTATATTGAATCACCGGCACCGCAATCTTACCCCAGCTGTCGCCTGCAATAACAGTCTTGAAAAGCAAAAGGTTAGCCTCCATGATAGATGAAGTATGCCTCACACATTCCTCACAATTGAGAAGCCGCTCGGTCTGCATCTGCTCCACCAAAGGGTGCACAAACTCCACGACCATCATGGCCCAAAATGTCATGAAAGCAAAGCAAAAAATGAAGGACCAGCCTGCGCATATTAAACAAGCACCCAAAGTACAACCTGCTTGAATGTTTGAATCGGTTTGAGCATTCGCCTAACTCCTATAGACATGCAAAGTTGGAGTGCAAAGGTTTGGTTGATGCAGCACTTTGGCACTGAAGCTTCGGAAGCAATCGCAACTGCAGCGGTTTCAAGAACCCCCTCGCCAGTCTCACAATGCTGTGAAGCATTTCTAGACTTACACATTTGCATTCCGAAGCAAACACTGCCAAATGAAAACATGCTGTTTCGCCCAAGTTTTTGGAACACTTCGCCCGACACGACACCAACGTTTGGCAGTGTCTTCTGCACAACAACTCCCCGCAACGAAGGCGTGCCAGCGAGCACACAACGAGGGGCGGCAACAATGAATTCCCCATCGTGCTGGGATTGCTGCACTGTCCCGAGCCCCTTGCCCATTTAATGCAGTATCGTTTCAAAGTGGCTGAGTGCCACTAACAGTGAGCACAATCGATGAGCACAAAAGCAGCACCGTGAAAATTAAAAAAAAGTCTGCGTCCAATCAGATCTCCCGTGCACTGCAAAGACTCCCCTGCTTTCATTTTGAAATGTGGGGCTGGTCCCGGCTGGCCTGGGCTGGTGGCTCTGCTTTCATTTTGAAATGTGGGGTTGGTTTGTGGCTGGCCTGGGCTGGTGGCCCTGCTTTCATTTGGAAATGTGGGGCTGGTCCCTGGCTGGCCTGGGCTGGTGGCTCTGCTTTCATTTTGAAATGTGGGGCTGGTCCCTGGGCTGGCGTCTCTCGTTCTCGATTTCGTCAAATCTGGTGCTAGAATTCGTCAAATCTGGTGCTCGATTTCGTCAAATCTG